CCACCTGCTGACCTGGTGGAAAAATATCTCACAGAAGAACGTGACAGAAAACCCACTGAGCACCAAAATTCAGGTTTCAAGTTTATTTATTTATGTAGCGCCAAGTTACAACATACGTTGTCTCAGGACACTGTACATAAAAAGAACAATGTAAAGAAGAAAGCAGCAGATTGTGTTGAATCACTTCATCACAGTCTCCCATCCTGAGCAAACGGTGGAGAGGAAAAACTCCCTGCTAATCAGGAAGAAACCTCCAGCAGAACCAGGCTCAGGACAGGAGACCATCTGCCTATCACTGAAACAAAATTTTAACATAATAAATGATACTTAATMCCTTTAATGTAAACTCCTTTTCAAGAAGTTGTGCTTTTTTTCCCTAGCCAAGTCTCCATTTCTCCCTGACAAATTTATACTGTGAATTCTGACATGTTGAAAGTAGTTGAGCTGTTTTGTGTGAATATTTACAGGTAACACAAGCTACAAACCAGATTGTGATGAACTGCGCTGACATCGACATCATCACAGCTTCTTTTGCACCACATGGAGGAGATGGTGAAAATCTTTGCTTCTTCTTCCTCCTACATCATGCCACTGTTATGATCCGTGTCTACTCCTTTCACCTCGGTTCAGTTTATTGAAAATCGATAATGGTGTCATTTCTCACAGCAGTCACTTGGTGTTGCAACACTCAGCTCTTTCTTCCTGTCTTGTCTGGCTTTGCAGAAATTAATGCTACTGGATTCAACTATCAAAATGAGGATGAGAAAGTCACCCTGTCATTTCCAAGTGCTCTACAGAAAGGTAGAGAGCCACATCATTGTTGTCCCTGCTTTAAAACAGAATATACCAAATGCAATATCAGATTTTGCATCTGCTCGTTCTTTGCCTCTACAGGCTCTGGCATGTTGAAGATTGACTTTGTTGGGGAGCTGAACGACAAAATGAAAGGATTCTATAGAAGTAAATATACGTCTCCTGCTGGAGAGGTTCGGTTTGCTGCTGTTACACAGTTCGAGGTGAGTGCTACTGAAATATAATGTTCTGGTCCTCTATCTGATTTTGAAATTCAGAATTGTTTCCAAGATATAAACAGCAGAGCATTTTCTTCCTATGCATGCTACCTATTGCTTTTTTATTTCTTTTTTTTGCTCTGTCATGAAACAATAATACTTAGGTTTGCAGTGTTTGCCAAGAGCATTAGTCATTAATTGTAAGAAGTAAATATTAAAATATTCCAACACAGATGGAGACACCTTGTCAAAAGGCAGGTGCACTGCAAGTTCATTTGACCTAAACAAACTATGTGCTGTTTAGTTATCGAACTTAAAACAGACACCAGCAATGTTTAGGCACCTCACAATTCCTTTGAATTATTACAATTCAGAGGGCTGCAGTGCAATTATCAAACAATAATCAATGCATTTTGAGTTCTTGAAGCCTAAATGACCATGACTTATTTCGTAATAAGTACTGATTTTGTATGTGTGTATGTATATATATATATAT